TGAAGCCAATTTTAGGGAGTTAGGCGTTTTTGATCTTCTTAAAGCACAACATCTACTTGTAATAGTGACTAGGGTGCAGCCTTTTGTGAAAAACGTGGTTTATGAGTTCTATGCTAACTTGGTGGAAGAGATAAATAACCCTGCATCTGATATGTATCACAAAGTGTATGTCAGAGGTCGTTTGTTTGATTTTTCTCCTGATGTGATCAATGACTTCTATGAAAGTAATCGGCCAGTTTTGAATCGAGAAGTTGATTTTAATGTCATTATCGCTGAAATAACTGCCAATGTACGAAGAAAATGGCCTCCTGCAAAGTCTTTTCCTGCAGCAGAGTTAAGCTTGGAGTAAAGAAGCCTTTGGCAAAGCTTCTCTTCCTGATTGGTACTGCTACTACTTTTGATTTTGGGCAGTTAGTGTTTGATCAAATCATCAGCAATGCTGAAGCCACAATCACTCATCCGGTTCTTCCTTTCCCTTATCTCATTTATGGAATTCTAACGAAGCAACATGATGTCAAGAAGTCGGATGAGTTGTTTGAGAAGACGTCGGGGTTCATTCGAATATCAAAGAAACTACATTCGGGAAAACATGTCGATGATGTTCAGGGGGAGCAGAGTTCTGATAAAGATGATAATGTTGAACCTAGTGTTGCTCCGAGTGTCTCTGGTGGTGTTGCAACAAGTTCTTCACAGTCCACAGCAGCGGTTCTGAATGCAAAAACCGTTCAATTTTTGTCCAAGGAGTTGCTCAATTTGTCAGCATATGAGTCTCATCTTCTTCGGGAAATGAAGCGGGTAGGACACAAGAAGAAGGAGATCACTGCTCTACTTGGAGATCTTCAGTCTTCCTCGGGTGCTGATGGACATGTTGGTACATCACAGTAGTTTGTTTGCTTTACTGTCTTTCTTATCTTGTACTCTTTGGCTACTTTTTGTCGAAAAGGGGGAGAACATTTAATTAATCCTCTTGACTCTTGCCTCTTGCCTTAGTCAGACTTTTTTTTTGTGTAATCAGTTTGTTTTGTTAGTTTAGCCAAAAATAGTAAAAGGGGGAGATTGTTAGTGTATTTAGTTATTGGCTTATTTTTGGCAAATTGTTTGAAAAACTATTTTAGGCAGATTGGTTGTAATTTGGTGGTAACCTTGGCTGGCACAACAATTTGGGAGTCTCTTAAGGAAAGTTTTGGTGGCACAGCAAAGGAATTGATTTGGTTGCAGAAAGTGCAGAGTTGACTTAGTGAATTAATGGCTGTGAGATTTGAACGTTGGCTATGGTCTTTTGATTGGGTGATGCACGTTGGAGTTGGGTAAGCACTGAATGAATGTTTGAGTGATAGAGTGCAGAGAAACGTAACACTGTGTACATGAGAATGAGATTGTAAGGTCAAGAATCACTTGATGTGTTGTGACGGATTGTGAGAACATATTTTGAATTGGTTCTTCAGGAGAAGATTTCATTGGTTTCGGGAGGAACCCATCAAGACGAGTGGTGCTCGCTGATCAAGTCTTCTAAGGAGATTCTAGGCAACGACAACATCTTCAAGGAGGGAGTCGTTGAGTGTGTAAGACCGTTTCGGTCCTTGTAATCTTTTGAACTTAGTGGATTGATCACTGTCTGGGCGTGGCCCCGCAGAGTAGGTGTGCGCACCGAACTGCGATACTATTTTCTGGTGTTCTTTACGTTTCTGCATTTAGTTTCTTGCATTTCTGATCTGCTGTCTTAATATTGAAATTTCTGTTATAACAGACACCAGAAACCAAAACAGACCTTTCATTGAGAAATGTCGATTCTCGGATAAATTCTTCGTCGTCGTCGGGTAGGATCGGTGAAAATTTAAAGGGAACAATTTGGCAGGAACTCAGCTATAAGTGGTTCGATTTTATGTTGAACCCAACAGGTTCCATTTCTGTTTGTGCGTGGTAAAATGGTGGAGACAAACAGTTCTGGCAACGGCCGTTTTGGCCAAGCGATCGAGTATATATATTCACCCTTTCGGAGATTGTTTCCCGATGTGTTAACAACTGCGGGAAGCAGAATAGACTCTCCTTTCGTTGCCAAGGAAAGAAAAAGGAGGGACAATGTGAATAAAATGGTTGCTTCCATTTTTTTGTTTGTTTGTAGAAATAACTACGCGACAAAGCTTGTATTTATAGATTAGTTAAAGATCTTTCACAATCTTATGTACTAAACTACCAATTATGCCTTTTTTCTGTTTTTTATTTATTTTTAAATATGCATGTTTTTAGTTTGGAGATTTCTCCAACCTACCCACTGTACACGTTTTAAGGTTTGGGCTCTAGCATAAAAATTGTCGAATTCTCACATATATTTGGTATACTATATATGTCCTCTTAAAATAATAAAGAAAAAGCAGAATACACACACATATATATAGATCATGTGCGTTAGAGTACTACTTATATGCATCATGTTTTTATTGAAATTTCACCCTAAGATTATTGTTCAAACAAGAAGTGTGGGTGCTTTAATATCCAATTTTAGATACAGAAAACAACCCTAAAAAAAGAGAAATATTATATAGCGTATGATCGTCCCCACACAAATGATAGTTCATTAAAGAACTTGATGTTGAGATCAGAGGACACACGAACCGATTCGTCTTTGTTGGGTTTGATTGGTGAAAATTTTATTGGAAAACCTGTTATCCCATAAATAAATACTTCAAGTTCAAAAATGAAGCCAGTAGGTTCCAGTACTGTCTACACTTATGATAATGACGGACGTATATAAGAGAGGCAACAATATTATGAAAGGCACCAAGTAATTATTCACGTCCCTTTTGGAGTTCGTTTCTTGATGAGTCAAGAATTGAAAAAGGCTGATCAACGAAGAAGATCCTACGATTGGTGTACACTCCAATTGTTGTGAAGAAAAAGAAAAGAAAAGAACAATGTGAGCAAAGTAATATATATAGCATCCATTATTGTGTAGGGTTTAGTCTACAAATAACTTCAAGACTCGTGATTGTATAGATGTACATGGGTCACAATCTCAACTAAAAATTTGCATGTTATAAGGCTTAGCATTAGTATCTAAATTTTGACGTGTATCAGTTTACAGAGACATCTCACACCTAACAATTGCGCCCCTTTTTTTTTTTTTTTTTTTTTTTTTTTTTTTTTTTTTTTTAAGGAATAGTTGCTATATGCAAATTTCACACATCATTTTTGTATCTTTATCGGAATCCTTTTCATAATAATAATAGAAAAAAAAAGATCCTTATGATGTGTTTATCGGAAATAGAAAGGCAAAGTACAACACGTGTGCATGCGGCACATAATTTCAAACACTCAAAAATAACCCAAGTAAAAAAAAAAAAAAGAAATTATAGTTTCAATATATGAATTGCAATAGTTTAACAATAATGTTTGCACGACATGCTTTAAAAAAATAGACTACAGATAATAACTAGATTTGGAACATTTGTTTCAATCTCAAATGGTTAATAGAAAAGCTACTAGAAGGAAAACGTTAATAACACTGTTGATTTTTAAAAAAATTTATAGGATAACTACGATTTTCGCCATATAATTTATTTAGTCATTGATTTAAGGCTCTTTTAGTAATTGGACCAAATACTTGGAAATTATCAAAATTAATATCCTTTTTCTTTCCCTCTGTATGGAGGACAAATTGTAGTCACAGTTTGGAGTCAAGTCCCGTCAATTAGAGCTTATCTAAAAGGTATAACATAAATAACAATTGATAGTATTATTCATAACGTTAGGTGGAATAGTACGAGTAAACGTGCGGGGAAAAAAAATTAATGTAGAATATGTTGGCGTTAAGAAAAATTTACGCAACCAAATAAAATTTGGTAGGATAATTATCGAAAAATCTCATTTCGCGCATGAATTTTATCAATTTAGCTTTCAATTATAAAATAAAACTTCGTATCAATATAGTCATCTTAAAAGAAATTGGCCTAATATCATGAGATCATTGAGAAGTAAAAAAAATGACTTTCTCTTAATAGTTTATGTGGTGCTTTTTTGTTAGTTTACCAATCTATCTTAAAAGCTTAAGCTATTAAGAAGTGGGCTAACAATAATTTTATATTTTAACACTCCTCTTTACGTGTGGGTTGAACAATGGACAATCATGTGAGTAAATTAATTAGAAAGCCCAACACGTGAATATTTAAGCCCGAGATATATTAATGACCCAATATATGATGACAATTATAAAGGGGGATAAAGAGTGCAATTACAGGGGTTTAAACTCAAGACCTCCCGCTTTGATACCATATTAGTTTACCAATCTATCTCAAAAACTTAAGCTATTAGGAGGTGAGCCAACAATAATTTTATATTTTAACATTTTTTAACCTCTTCTAGTAATTATACCATAGTAAAATAAATTATCAAAAAAAGATAGAGATGCAAATAGCTTAGTTTTGAAACGTTTTTAAAGTAATTAACATATTTTTAAAACAGTTGATGTAAATAATAAAATTTTAAAGTAATTAACATTCTTTTTATCAAACAATTGAAGATAATAATATATCTACTTGATAAATTATTATCACTAAATGCTATTAAATATCTGTATAAGAAATCAATCTGTTATATTAAAAAATAACTATAAATATGCTATTTACTGCTATTAATTACTATTATAAAAATTAATGTCAGATTTTTTTTTGGTACAAAAAGGACAAATTAAGAGTAAAATATACCCCAATAATGTGTCATGACTCTAGGGCAGTGGTCCAACTTGTCGTTGTACATATGGCCTGCAAATGCTTACAAAAGGTACAACATGATTAGAACATGCACGATTGTGGTGCTCGCAATGTTAAAATAATTAATCTCTTTTATAACGTAAGGTATATTTGACAAGGTGATTTTTTTTTTTTTTTTTTTTGCATTTTTGCATTATTTTTTGTGAAGAAAGCAGCATTCATATTTATTATTATTATATATATTTTTTTGTAATGAAACAAGCAGTGTTAAATAATGCACTAAAATTGCAAAAATATGATCAAGAGCAGATACCATTTCTTATAACGATTCATAACCACTATACAAGACACAAAAGATCTTCTTCTTCCTTATTAATTGCAGTATATATTATATATATATGTATATATATATAGGTATGCAGATCAACATCTAAATCTATTGATATTGATGCATTACTGCTCGGAAGAAGTTGCATTTATTTTAAAAGTTTCCTATTGAAGCAGTGGGTGCTGGCGCTTCCTTTACGTGAAAGAAGACAAACAGTAATGGTTTATGGACCAAAGCTAGACGCTTTGTCCCAAAGGCTCTGTTTGTGATTCCAACATTTCGACCTAAGCTTGAAACAAGCTTGTAGGTACGGTCATCTACTTCCGAAGCGTTTTCAATTTTGAACCAACTGCTTTTATCTTCATACGCTCCGCCAAGAGTCACAAACGGTTCAATCCCGTCCACCTTCCACACCGGTGTCTCTCCAAATACTGATGATGACATTTCATCCTCAGAGAACTGGATGTGGAGATCAGTAGACACGCGAATCGAATCGTCTTCGCTGTCACTAGCGACCGGTGTAAATGCCACTGGAAGACCTGTTATCTCAAAGAAAAACTTTTCAATTTCTAGTTGAAGCCAGGTAGTTCCAGGACGATAAATAACTGGGACAATGGCGGCGCTATATAAGAAAGGCAACGCTAGCAAAGGCTGTATGTAATAATATTCACCCTTTTGGAGTTTGTTTCCGGATGAGTCAAGAACTTCAAGAGGCTGATGATCATCAACAATGGAGATACCATGATGACTGGCGTCAACTCGATTTGCTGTGAAGGAAAGGAAAAGGAAGGACAATGTGAATAAAGTGGTAGCTTCCATTTGTGTTAGTTTTGGGAATTTTTGTGTAGAAATGTCTACAACAAAGATTTTATTTTATAGAGAGTACTTAAAGATTTGTAACTACTTTACGTAAGCAATCATGCATGTTTCTAATAATATGTGAAGATTTCTGCCACCTAACCCATTGTGCCCGATTTAAGGTTTCTCACTGCTATCTGGTATCGTTTCTCCTCTAGAAAAATAAAGGAAGGACAATAATAATGTGAGTAAAATAGTAGACTCCATTGTATGCTATTTTACGGTTTTGGGTTCTCTAATGACCTTAAGGCTAGCGCTAGTGATTTTGTGGAGGTAGATGTTTCACAATCTGTACTAACAATTAATCAACACGTTTTTATGATGGAAACAATTAATTAGTATGGTTTCAAAGAAATAAATTTAAGCTCGAAACGTTATTTCCTTAAGAAAATAAATTTTTACTCTAAGATAATTTTCTGTAAAAAGGTGAACTATTTTTGAGAAAAATGTAATTTTAACTTAGAGGTTAACTACAAATCACGTGTCACGATCTGTTCATAATATAACAGATGTTATCAAGAACCAGAAATGCAACTAATCTTGAAGTTGAATTGGTGTCAATTACTATGATTTTTAGTTTAGGGACTAAATTATCAAACACGTAAGTTCATGAGATATTCATGCAAAAAGGGAAAAAAAAACCCTGAATATTTAACCACATATTTTAAAGATGGGACCAACATTTTTAATGGAGACGATATATATATATATAGTTATTTATTTTTTAGAGAAAAAGAAAAACGTCGATATATCACATGGTGTAAAGAAAGATGGTGTAAAAGCAGTTGCGTGGCCTCCTCAACCCTCCACCACGAGCATAATGTGGCCCTTTTAATTTTGCCCCAATCAAAATTTTTTACATTTTCCCCTAACATCTCCCCCCGTAATTTTTCACTTTTATGATATTTATATGAAAATTTTAATAACATTTTAATTATGTTCTAAAATTTAATTTTGAGTATCTTATATTTGTAAACTAAATTGTTAAATAAATCAATAATCAATGACATTATTATATAAAAGTTCACAACTTGCGTATTGTATACTTTGAGAAGTGATTTAAACTTAATTAGAAGATTGATTTATTTAAATTAAAAATCGTAAATAGTAATATTTATTGTACTACTAATTTAATTTAAAATTTTAATTTCACTCACGCTCTCACCAAAAAAAAAAAATTCCTGACTTTACTACTATGGAAAAGGACAATGCTCGTAACATCACTCTATTAGTCAATTTTCAAGTGGCCTGGCCTAGAAAAGGACCTAGTAGGTTGCATAGTAGATTTTAAATATAATCATATCTTTAGATTTACTCAAGTGTGAAAAAGAAATAAATATCACTTAAAAAAAGAAAAAGATAAGATAAAAGAAGATCTCTTCGAAAAAGATAACTGAAAAGGAAAAAAAAAACACCCGAAGAAAATTTGGATGCTATAGGGAACTTGGGAATTAAGTCATATATATTAAAAACATGTCTAGAATCATGCATATATCTGTTAGGCTGATTCGTGCTTGTGTAGGCTTTTCTATGTTTTCTTATTTTGCCTCGTTTTTTGTTTTTTTGGCTTTGTTTCGGCTTTTTATTAGTGTTGTTGAAAAAAATATATGACATAGAAAATGGACGAAGATGTGAGATAGTTTATATATGAAAGGATTCAAAACCTAATAGGTTAGGTTAATTTTTTAGGTCAAGTTAGACTCTGAAAGTGTGTTAGGCCAGTTTCACATGTGAAGTCTCACTAATAGGTGTGATTCTGTTTGTCTTTGATGTCTGTTTCTTTGTAGTTCGTTTTCCTTGACCTGGTTGTTTCTCTTTTTATTAGTTGCCGCTTCAGGCGTGGTTTGAAGATCATGACCTCTATGTGAAGGAAAAAAATCAAAATAATATCTTTGTCGAAGATTGGCCGAGAATCCTACCTGGAAGTTAAGTTGGTGCGTTAGACATGTGTTAGAATCTAATAAGGACATGATCAATAAAAGAAAAAATCAATAATACTAAAGATAACAATTCTTACACCGTGTTTTACAAACCATGTGATGTGAAAATTGATATGTCTGAATATTTAACCATAAAAATTTTAAACTGAAGACCACAATTTTTAACATTTAAGAGGATATATTAGTGATTATCTTTATGGTGAAATATGCTGCCTCATGTGTCAAAAATTAAGAAGATATTGGTATAAAATGGTGAAATTACCATTACCATAAAAAATATATAAAAAAAATAAAAAGTACATGCACTACTATTTGTTCCGAGGGGAATTTAATTCCATCATAATGTGTCAAAATTTTATATGTCAAAAATACTCTTTTACATTTTAACAGAAAAATTGTGATTCACGGACAAACGTTAGTTCTAGAAGAGTGAACTTTGAGTAGGAACGAAGTTGCATATATTGTCATAGGTTCATATCACTCTTTTATATCAGTAGAGATAGGGATAGGAATGATAGGCGGACCCCCTAACGCTAGCTAGATTTTTTTTGTTTTTTTTTTTGTTTGAGAATAATGCTACCTAGATTTTGGACAGTGCGTGATCTCATTTTCTCCGTACTTTTTCTAGTAATTGGACCATATACTAATAGATATTATTACAATTAGTGCCTAATATTTTGTCAAATTCTCTTTTACAATTTAATTTTCATATGATATACTTTTTTTAATTTATTTTTTTCGGTTTACGCTTATTAAATGATTTCCTTTTTTCTTCTCATTTACGCTGACTAAATAATTTCTTTTATATGCATCCTTATTTAATTGTCTTTGTTTCTTTTTTACTTTCATACAACGAGTCATGCATAATTAAATGCTATTAGATTTTGAATTTTTATTATTTTATTAGCTTGCTTGCTTTTATTAAAATATCTTTTCGGATGTGTTCCAATTTTTTTTTAATCCTTATAATGTCATAACTCAAAAGATATTCGCATCAATACTTTTTTTATATTGACCCATTAAAACAATTTATTCTTATACATGTCTATGTGACAAATTTTTTTTTTATATAATCCTTACAACTATTATTTTATAATTAATACCATTTCTCTAATTTGTTATTGTAGAGGAAATTCTTCTTGAATATCTCAAAAAAAAAAAAAAAACGTTTCAATTTCGAGTTGAAGCCAGGTAGTTCCAGGATGATATATACCTGGGAGGCGTTATATAAGTAAGGCAACGCTAGCAAAGGCTGTATGTAATAATATTCACCCTTTTGGAGTTTGTTTCCGGATGAGTCAAGAACTTCAAGAGGCTGATGATCATCAACAATGGAGATACCATGACTGGCGTCCACTCCATTTGTTGTGAAGGAAAGGAAAAGGAAGGTCAATGTGAATAAAGTGGTAGCTTCCATTTGTGTTAGTTTTGGGAATTTTTGTGTAGAAATGTCTACAACAAAGATTTTATTTTATAGAGAGTACTTAAAGATTTGTAACTACTTTACGTAAGCAATCATGCATGTTTCTAATAATATGTGAAGATTTCTGCCACCTAACCCATTGTGCCTGATTTAAGGTTTCTCACTGCTATCTGGTATCCTTTCTCCTCTTGAAAAATAGAGGAAGGACAATAATAATGTGAGTAAAATAGTAGACTCCATTGTATGCTATTTTACGGTTTTGGCTTCTCTAATGACCTTAAGGCAAGCGCTAGTGATTTTGTGGAGGTAGATGTTTCACAATCTCCACTAACAATTAATCAACACGTTTTTATGATGGAAACAATTAATTAGTATGTTTTCAAAGAAATAAATTTAAGCTCGAAACGTTATTTCCTTAAGAAAATAAATTTTTACTCTAAAGACAATTTTCTGTAAAAAGATGAACTATTTTTAAGAAAAATGGAATTTTAACTTAGAAAGAGGTTAACTACAAATCACGTGTCACGATCTATTCATAATTTAACAGATGCTATCAAGAACAAGAAATGCAACTAATCTTGAAGTTAAATTGGTGTCAATTACTATGATTTTTAGTTTAGGGACTAAATTTTCAAACACGTAAGTTCATGAGATATTCCGGCCAAAAGAAAAAAAAAATCCCTTAATATTTAACCACATAATTTTAAAGATGGTACCAACAGTAATGGAGATGATATATATATATATATATATATATAGTTATTTAGTTTTTAGAGAAAAAGAAAAACGTTGATATATCACATGGTGTAAAAGCAGTTGCGTGGCCTCCTTAGCCCTCCACCACGAGCATAAAGTGGCCCTTTTAATTTTGCCCCAATCAAAATTTGTTTATATTTTCCCCTTACATCTCCCCCCTAAAATTTTGACTTTTATGATATTTATATGAAATTTTTAATAACATTTTAATTATGTTCTAAAATTTAATTTTGAGTATCTTATATTTGTAAACTAAATTGTTAAATAAATCAATAATCAATGACATTATTATATAAAAGTTCACAACTTGCGTATTCTATACTTTGAGAAGTGATTTAAATCAATAATCAATGAGTATCTTATATTAGTAAATAGTAATATTAATTGTACTATTAATTTAATTTAAAATTTTAATTTCACTCACGCTCTCACCAAAAAAAATTCCTGACTTTACTACTATGGAAAAGGACAATGCTCGTAACATCACTCTATTAGTCAAAATTTCAAGTGGCCTAGAAAAGGACCTAGTAGGTTGCATAGTAGATTTTAAATATAATCATATCTTTAGATTTACTCAAGTGTGAAAAAGAAATAAATATCACTTAAAAAAAGAAAAAGAAAAGATAAAAGAAGATCTCTTCGAAAAAGATAACTGAAAAGAAAAAAAAAACCCCAAGAAAATTGGATGCTATAGGGAACTTGGGAATTAAGTTATATATATTAAAAACATGTCTAGAACCATGCATATATCTGTTAGGCTGATTCGTGCTTGTGTAGGCTTTTCTATTTTTTCTTATTATGCCTCGTTTTTATTTTTTTTTATTTTTTGGCTTTGTTTCGGCTTTTTATTAGTGTTGTTGAAAAAAATATACGTGTGTTGTCTCACATAGAAAGTGGACAAATATGTGAGATAGTTTATATATGAAAGGATTCAAAACCTAATAAATTAAGTTAACTTTTTGGGTCAAGTTAAACTCTTTAAGTGTGTTGGGCTAATTTCACATGTGAAGTCTCCCTAATAGATGTGGTTCTGTTTGTCTTTGATGTCTATTTCTTTGTAGTTTGTTTTCCTTGGCCAAGCTGTTTCTCTTTTTATTAGTTGCCGCTTCAGGCTTTCGTGATTTGAAAATCATGACCTGTATGTGAAGGAAAAAAATCAAAATAATATCTCGGTCGAAGATTGGCCGAGGATCCTACTTGGAAGTTAAGTTGGTGCGTTAGACATGTGTTAGAATCTAATGAGGACATGATCAATAAAAGAAAAATCAATAATACTAAAGATAACAATTCTTACACCGTATTTTACAAACCATGTCATGTGAAAATTGATATGTCTGAATATTTAACCATAAAAACTTTAAAACGAAGACCACAGTTTTTAAAATTTAAAAGGATATATTTATTAGTGATTTATCTCTATGGTGAAAAATATTGCGACATCACATGGTGTCAAAATTAAGAAGATATTGGTATAAAATGGTGAAATTACCATTACCATAAAAAATATATAAAAAAATCAAAAGTACATGCACTACTATTTGTTCCGAGGGGACTTTAATTCCATCATAATGTGTCAAAATTTTATGTATCAAAAATACTTTTTTTCTTTTTAACAGAAAAATTGTGATTCACGGACAAATGTTAGTTCTTAGTGAGTAGACTTTGAGTAGGAACGAAGTTGCATATCATTTTTCTGTAAATAATTGATGACTACATCAGAATCAAGATTACATGTGATGTGAAAATGAAATTATGAGATATGGGGTGTCCCAAAAATCTACTTGGTACATATGTAGCTGACTAATTAGAGAAAATTAAGCATTTATGAATTATTGTGATCATCAAGGGTGAGGATTTTACCAAAGCAATTCTCATCCAACGGCTACAGAATAAGACACTTCAAAACATATGTTTCTTCTTCTCTTACCTCTCAGGAGGAATGCAGTGTGATATTTTGGACGAGTAGTGGCTCGTGGTGGCTCGTGCGATTGAATAGTAGTAGTGATTCGTGGCTTTTATTTTACCGTCTCCCTATTAAATTGTATTAGTGTAACAATTATGAACTCTCTCTAACTATGTAAAATTAAATATTATTAGAATGCGGCTTTCCGATAATGACTATTTTATGTATCACATTTACTAGTTTTACACTTATATATATACCCTAAGATAAGATTAGTTTTCTTTTGAGGATTGATATTTAAGACGCATGGGCAATGTTTTAATTTCAAATTTTACTTGTTTCATTTTTATTTGAATTTTGCTTGATTGTTTTAAGGGTAGTTCTATTCACACCCACCATTTTATTTTCTACAGTACCCCTCTTCTAACTACACACCCCATATAATTTTTAAATGATCAAATTTTCTTTCTACGCACTCCTATTGTTTCAAAATTACCCCTAATTATTTTCATAAAATTATTAAAGATGGTATTATTTACACTCTTTTTTTTTTCTTTCTACCCCTAATAATTTTTTGTTTTTTTTTTGGCACAAAACTTTAACAAAACGTGTTCTTATAGAATTTTACCTAACAATCAAAGCATGGTTTTGAGGCAGGGTTATTAGTGCACAAATTTCAGTTTTCACACATGTTTATAATCTAGAGATCGTGTCTCCCACCTAAACATTGAGCACTTTTTTAACGTTTATTTCGAAGTATACAGAAATTCACCCATCAATTGTGATAACCTTATCTTCACATCTTCTAATGAAAAATATATATCAATTAAAAACCCAAAAGAAAATCTGATAAGTGTTTGTGGGAGTACATGCGCGTCTCGTATTGTGAAATTTCACCTTCAAACACACATACAACCAAACTGAAAAAAAAAAAAATGTTGCCGTTCGTATACTTCAATTAATCTATTATTGTGGAAGTTAAAATACATGTCTACAATACAGAATATGATAAAATTATAATTTTTAGAAAGTCTTTGGAACCAAATGATTATACTGCAGGCGCATTTTGCCTTTTCTGGGATCGTAAAATCTCATTTCGCTAGCTCATTAATTTTATAAATTCAGCCATCACATTTTTCAATTATAAAATAAAATACCGAAGTTTAAAATCTTATCAATATAGTCATTTGAAAAGAAATTCCTTTAATATGAGATGGTAAATATGACGTTCTTCAGATAGTTTATGCGGTTCTTTTTAACCTCTTCTAGAAATTGTACCATAGAAAAGAAATTATCAAAAGGGATAGGGATGCAAATAGAATAGTTTTGAACAATTTTGTAAATAACTAACAAATTTTTCAAATGATGGAAATGCATAGTATATTTACTGATAAATAATTTATTTTCTCAAAATAAATAAATTATTATCGCTTGGTAAATAAATTATTAACAACAAACATGTTGGTTACTTTAAAAAAATCCATTTCACAAATATTTTGTTTACTATATAATTACTGTTATAAAAATTAATGTCAGATTCTAATACAAAGCACAAATCAAGAGTAGAAGTGATATCTAGAGTAAAAGCCCTAGTAATGTGTCATGACTCGAGATTAGTGGTTCAATATGTACATTGCACATAAGGCCTATATATATATATATATGCTGATCTACAAGAGATAGTGGTTCAATATGTACATTGCACATAAGGCCTATATATATATATGCTAATCTACAAGAGATACAACAGGAATAGAACATAATTACGGTACTCGTGATGTTAAAATAAAAAGAATTGATGTTAAAATAAAGCGATATTAAGAGCATATAATGCCATTTCTCATTAAGATTCATAACAAAACGATACAAACACACAAAAGATCTTCTTCTTCCTTATTTATAATACTATTTGTATGTATATCAGCATCTAAATCTATTGATATTAGATGCGTTAGTATGCTTGGAAGAAGTAAACTTTCATTTTTGTAATTTATTTTAAATGCTTCATTTTGAAGCTGCAAGTCCATCTTTTGCGGGTAAGAATGAAAAGCTTAATGCTTCATCAGCCAAAGCCAAACGCTTTGTCCCACCGGATCTGTTTGAGATCCCAACATCTCCACCAGAGCTAGAAACAAGCTTGTAGGTACGATCATCTATTTCCGAAGCTTTTTCGATCTTGAAGCAACTGCTTATATCTCCCTCCGCTCCACCAAGAGTCACAAACGGTGGCGCTCCAAGTCCTTCCGGCACCTTCCACACCGGTGACTCTCCCAATACTGGTATTACTTCATTAGGGTATAACTTGATGTTGAGATCAGTGGACACGTGAATCGATGCATCTTCGGTGAGATTGGTGGGTGAAAATGTTACTGGAAGACCTTCTATCCCATAAATAAATTCTTCAATTTCGAGTTGAAACCAGGTAGTTCCAGGACGATATATACCCGGGACAATGGCGGCAGTTTATAAGCGAGCCAGCAGTAGCGAAGGTATGAAGTAATAATATTCACCCACTTCGACTTCGTTTCCATCTATGTCAAGAACTGCCGGAGGTTCCTTATCTGGTCTGGAGATACCACGACTGGCGTACACTCCATACTTTGTTGTGAAAGAAAGTAAAAGGAAGGATAATGTGAATAAAGTGGTAGCTTCCATTTGTGTTATCTTTGGGATTTTTGTGTAGAAATGACTAAAACAAAGCTTGTATTTATAGAGAGTTAAGGATTTCTAACTACCTTGAGTAGCAACATTCATGCATGTTTCTAATGTGAAGATTTTTGCCACCTACCCATTGTACCCGATTTAAGGCCTGGCCTCCAGCACACAAATTCTCACAGATATATGGTATCCTATATATGTATCCTCTTAATACAATAATGGAAGAATGGTGTGAATAAAATAGTAGCTTCCATTAATATTGTATGGTAGTTTCTTTAGATTTTGTGTACAGATGAATTTGAAGCTCGTGGTTTTTTCTTTTTTTAAAACTTGAAGCTTGTGATTTTATAGAGGCAGGTTCTCACCTGCTAATTAATTAAAATATATTCTTGATGAAAACAATTAGTATGTTTTGAAGGAAATAAGTTATACTTGTATTATTTCCTTAATAAAGTAAAATTTCTACTTTAAGAAAATAAATCTAAATATACTAGAAAAGAAAATTAAATTTTACTGCTATAAAATTTTATCCTTAAAAATAGAATTTTTTTTTGAGAAAAATAAATAAAACACTTTTACTTTAATAAAAAAAATAATTTTCGTTTAGGAATAGAGACATTATCATTTGATTTTTTATGTTCGTTTCCTCGAAATTCTTTTCAAATTGACGTCGTTTTAGTTTTTTTAGCATCGTTATCTACTTATCTTTCAATTCCATTTTATATTGTACTTTAATCTTAAAATTAAATTTTACTGCAATAAAAATAAATTTCCTTAAAAAGAGGAATTATTTTGAGAATATGATAAAAAAAATAAGCTTGTCATAGGTTCGTTTCACTCTTTTACTTTACTAGAGGTAGAGATCATGATGAGGATCAGATTCTGATAATAGCTAGATGTTGGACACTGATTTTAATCTGAAATGGTCAAAATGACTTTCTCTTTATGGTTTATTTAGTCAATAATTAACCTCATTTAAAAATATGTTTTGGAAAAGGACGTTTTCTAGTAATTAGACCCATACTAATGGATATATATTGTCACTATTAATGAATAAATGGCAAATCAAGAATGAAGCCACAATAAGGTGTCAAGGACAGTGGTCCAGGTTGATCTTTTTTTTTTTTTTTTTTTTTTTTTTTTATAGAAAGGGCAGTGGTCCTGTCTCTACATTACACATAATATTAGTGTATAATTGTTAGTCAGTAATCCATAAATATTGGGAGAGTTTCATTTTACTTGTTTAATACGGCCAGTAGTCTAAGTGAATCAAGACAATATATTGTCATAGGTTCATATCACTCTTTTATATCAGTAGAGATAGGGATAGGAATGATAGGCGGACCCCCTAACGCTAGCTAGATTTTTTTTGTTTTTTTTTTTGTTTGAGAATAATGCTACCTAGATTTTGGACAGTGCGTGATCTCATTTTCTCCGTACTTTTTCTAGTAATTGGACCATATACTAATAGATATTATTACAATTAGTGCCTAATATTTTGTCAAATTCTCTTTTACAATTTAATTTTCATATGATATACTTTTTTTAATTTATTTTTTTCGGTTTACGCTTATTAAATGATTTCCTTTTTTCTTCTCATTTACGCTGACTAAATAATTTCTTTTATATGCATCCTTATTTAATTGTCTTTGTTTCTTTTTTACTTTCATACAACGAGTCATGCATAATTAAATGCTATTAGATTTTGAATTTTTATTATTTTATTAGCTTGCTTGCTTTTATTAAAATATCTTTTCGGATGTGTTCCAATTTTTTTTTTAATCCTTATAATGTCATAACTCAAAAGATATTCGCATCAATACTTTTTTTATATTGACCCATTAAAACAATTTATTCTTATACATGTCTATGTGACAAATTTTTTTTATATAATCCTTACAACTATTATTTTATAATTAATACCATTTCTCTAATTTGTTATTGTAGAGGAAATTCTTCTTGAATATCTCAAAAAAAAAAAAAAAAAGTTTCAATTTCGAGTTGAAGCCAGGTAGTTCCAGGATGATATATAACTGAGACAATGGCGGCGTTATATAAGTAAGGCCACGCTAGCAAAGGCTGTATGTAATAATATTCACCCTTTTGGAGTTTGTTTCCGGATGAGTCAAGAACTTCAAGAGGCTGATGATCATCAACAATGGAGATACCATGACTGGCGTCCACTCCAATTGTTGTGAAGGAAAGGAAAAGGAAGGACAATGTGAACAAAGTGGTAGCTTCCATTTGTGTTAGTTTTGGGAATTTTTTGGTATGTTTACCTACGCGTAATCGGAATGAGCATGAATCGGAGTGGGTAGGATTCGGAGTGGATAGGATTTGGAGTGAGGAATCAGAGTCAAAATAAGCTGTTTACTTAGTGGTAAGATTCAGAATCGAAGTCATTCTAAATCTCATTCATACGTTTACTTACACCCATAATCAGAATGAAAAAATGTAAAAGTACTAATATACCCTTTAAATCAATTTGATATTTTCAATTTAAAAAATATATTGTGTATTTATTATATTAAAATTAATCATAATTAAAATATTTAGTGTAATAATTGGATACTAAAATAATAAATATAAATTGTACAACTATTTAAAATATAAAAATAAATTTTAAATAAAATAAATAAAAATAAAAAATAGTGTTAAAAAAATAAAATATATTATTAATTTATTAAAAAATAAAGTACATATTTATTATATTAAAGTTAACAATAATTATGCTAATATTATAATATTAGGCAAATAAAATAATAAATATATGTTGCATTTATCTTTTGTGTGTTGAACTTTAAAAAGAAATTGTATATTATGCTAACTATCTTAATATTAGAATAACTAACTAGTAATTAGATTTTTTTAATCACACCTAATTATTCATCTAAGTTATTTTTCTCAATCAATTTTAACTCAATTTCAAGAAAAGAATATGATGATAAAATAAAATAAGAACAAAATAACTAAGTTTTAAGTCATAAACCCTAGAGAGTTCAATAAATGAGAAAAATTAAAGGTAAATTCGTAACTTTGCATTTAATATCAGGAATGGGAGTGGCAATCCGGTGGGGGGTGGAGGGAGTGTCAATCCCATTCCTCAACCCCAAATTCGTAAGCAATCATGCATGTTTCTAATAATATGTGAAGATTTCTGCCACCTAACCCATTGTGCCTGATTTAAGGTTTCTCACTGCTATCTGGTATCCTTTCTCCTCTAGAAAAATAAAGGAAGGACAATAATAATGTGAGTAAAATAGTAGACTCCATTGTATGCTATTTTACGGTTTTGGGTTCTCTAATGACCTTAAGGCTAGCGCTAGTGATTTTGTGGAGGTAGATGTTTCACAATCTGTACTAACAATTAATCAACACGTTTTTATGATGGAAACAATTAATTAGTATGTTTTCAAAGAAATAAATTTAAGCTCGAAACGTTATTTCCTTAAGAAAATAAATTTTTACTCTAAAGACAATTTTCTGTAAAAAGATGAACTATTTTTAAGAAAAACGGAATTTTAACTTAGAAAGAGGTTAACTACAAATCACGTGTCACGATCTATTCATAATTTAACAGATGCTATCAAGAACAAGAAATGCAACTAATCTTGAAGTTAAATTGGTGTCAATTACTATGATTTTTAGTTTAGGGACTAAATTATCAAACACGTAAGTTCATGAGATATTCATGCAAAAAGGGAAAAAAAAAAAACCCTGAATATTTAACCACATATTTTAAAGATGGGACCAACATTTTTAATGGAGACGATATATATATATATAGTTATTTATTTTTTAGAGAAAAAGAAAAACGTCGATATATCACATGGTGTAAAGAAAGATGGTGTAAAAGCAGTTGCGTGGCCTCCTTAGCCCTCCACCACGAGCATAAAGTGGCCCTTTTAATTTTGCCCCAATCAAAATTTTTTACATTTTCCCCTTACATCTCCCCCCGTAATTTTTCACTTTTATGATATTTATATGAAAATTTTTATAACATTTTAATTATGTTCTAAAATTTAATTTTGAGTATCTTATATTTGTAAACTAAATTGTTAAATAAATCAATAATCAATGACACTATTATATAAAAGTTCACAATTGATTAAACTTAATTAGAAGATTGATTAATTTGGATTAAAAAATAGTAAATAGTAATATTAATTGTACTATTATTTTAATTTAAAATTTTGGTTTCACTCACGCTCTCACCAAAAAAAGTTAAGTTGGTTTACTACTATGAAAAAGGACAATGCTCGTAACATCACTCTATTGACTAAGTTCCTGACTTTATCACTCTAGTCACAATTTGATGTGGCCTACAAAAGGACCCAATAGGTTGGAAAGTAGATTTTAAAGATAATATAGGGAACTTGGGAATTAAGTCATATATATTAAAACCAAGAACATTGGATACTATAGGGAACTTGGGAATATATTAAAAACATGTCTAGAACCATGCATATATCTGTTTTGCCTCGGTTTTTTTTTTTTTTTTTTTTTTTTTTTTTTTTTTTTTTTTTTTTTTTTTCATTGGTGTTGTTGAGAAAAGTGTATGAGTGTTGTCCTACATAAAAAATGGATGAAGATGTACAATGATTTATATACATGGAAGGACCTAAGACCTAATATGTTAATCTCTATGTGAAGAAAAAAAAATCAAAATAATATCTCGGTCGAAGATTGGCCGAGAATCCTAGTTGGAAGTTAAGTTGGTTCATTAGAAACCAAAGCAATATAGAATATGAAACCAAGAATACAAGCAGTCAATCAATGAATTAGGCCATCAATCAATCTCTATAATTACACCAAATTGACAACTATTCACACCTAATTGACAACCCCTAATTGGCAATTATAAATCTCTAAAGATGGAAAGGATCACAAAGATAATTACAATAATTAAAATAACAAATCTCAACACTCATCTTCAAGTTGGTGCATACCAACTTGGAAATAAAGCTTTAATGAGAAAACACATCCCTTTAAATCTGGAAACAATCATCGGATTCCAACATCAAGGTGATGCAAATCTTTTAAATCTGGAGATAATCATCGGATTCAACACACTAACTTGGAAATAAGGCCTCGGGCAAATTGAAGAGGTTTGACTTTCTTTAATCTTCAAGAACAACTTTGAAAATCTTGCATACCATACTCAAGTTCACATGAGTTTCACAACATGTTGATTTCCAGAAACTTCACATGCTAGGCTCAAATTCACAGGAGTTTCACAACACATACTTCAATTTTAAAATTTTCACATGTTAGGCTCACACTAACATGAGCTCCACAGCACAGGCTTCACTTTTAATTTTCCAAAAAATAAATTTCAAATCTCACAATAATTATTTTTTTCAATTTTCTTTATTTTCCTCAATACAATTCCTTTTTCTATTCAATCAATCATTTTTTCCATTTTTTTAATATATTTTTTCTTTTCTTTCTTCTTTTACACGTTCTCTTGTTCTCTTTTCTCTTCTATTTTTTTTTTCTTTGCATTCTTTACCTTTTTTTTTTTCTTTTTCTCTAAATAAACGCACGTGCATAAGAATAAAGGAAGTTCAAGGCTTCCTTCATATGAATGAGGAGCAAATAAACAAAAGAAGAATAAAAGGATAAAAGACAGAGCTAGTCTTGTGAACGTTTGGGTTCATTGACTGAGTTCGTCAAGATCGTTGGACTCATCGGTCAGGTTCGGAACTGCGGCTCTTGGAACACAGTCGTTTGACAGCGGATTTCAGCATGGTAGTTACCGGCACGATACGATGGCCGGCTCTGATACCAAATTGAAAATAAGAACCAAAGATAGAGCAAAAAAGAAACAAAGAATTTTATGTGGTTCGGCAATACACCTATATCCGCAGATCAGGAGTATAATTTCATTCCATTCACTGATGCTTTACGATGAGTATGTACATAACTATAAATGGAGATGATCCCCAAGAATACAAGCAATCAATCAATGAATTAGACTATCAATCAATCTCCTATAATTACACCAAATTGACAACTATTCACACCTAATTGACATCCCTTAATTGACAACTATAAATCTCTAAAGACGAAAAGAATCACAAAAATAATTACAATAATCAAAATAACAAATCTCCATATTAACGACAATACAAGACAATACGAGACCCTATATTACACGCTATCGTATATATAGAGCTATGTAAATATCACCTTTTAAGTTTCCGGAGTATATTTTCTACAATCACGTTTTTGAAAATACAGTTTTTAGAGGATTCGAGAAGGAGAAAATGTTGTATGATTCTAGGGCATGTGCTGAATGGTTATTATTTCTGTTGTAATTATTATATTGCAACAGAAATAATAATCATTCCACTTCTTTCTTTGTTGGAATAAATAAATAACAGTAATTTGTTCAGGAACATACAAAAAAAAATAAGAAATTTTTATCTATTACCTCTCTCAAAGCTTTCACAACATATTACCGGTAATGGAAAATCTCACGATCAGTATTGGGGGCTGCTCTTACCAAAATAGAAGTTGTTTTTAATTTTGACCCCAATAACAGTTTTGATTCTTTTAAATGGGATAAAGCTAACAACGTTTTGAATTAGAACTCGTCGAGCTTGAGTACAGACAAATATAAACGATATAATCAAACGGTGAATAACGTCAACTATAGATGCATATAATATAGACGCAACCACACTACAAAAAGATATCATGAACTGTTAAATTCAAAAATATTAGCTGATAAAATCTGCACTGTCATGTATCCAAACGGCAGTAAGATATCTCGAGTTTTGTCACTATTGTCGAGGACAGGATTTGGTGCGCCATGGAAGATGATGGTGCGATGAGAAAATGGTGGCAAAAGTGGCCAATGGCGAAGTCACATTAATTAAGCTCAGAGGGCTGTTGTCCCGATTGACCAGATAGGCTCCATTAATTTTTATCCCAGTTAAAAGTTTTTCTTACAAAGAGTCCTGATTTAATTCGTCGAAAAATTTTTAGTGGCACATTCTGTATGGAATTTACAACACTTTGACAACATTTTCCATCTCCTGAGGTATGCTGCTTTCTCAAATGTAATTTATTTCGCCAGTCATATCATGGCTAGAGTTTCTAATTACGATGCTTGGATTTTTGTCTAGTTTTTCTTTGTATTTTCAAATTGGCTTGTACTAACAGTGGTCTTAACCTTATTTAGTGGTTTGTTTGCCTCCTTTTTTATTTTTAGTGGTTCGATCATTGGCATACCTATT